CCCTGAAAAAGGAGAGTAAGAGGCTAAGAAAATCTAAACAATTTGGGCAGTTTGCAGCCAGTTTATGAACTTCAAGGCCTTATCTTCCTTAACCAAGAAAACTTAAGAGCAAATGATTTATACCCTCCTCCCTAACCAGAAAATGCATAGTTTAAATCACTCTGGCCTGAGGAAATAGAGAACAATGGCCCAGTTAATGCCATTTGTGCCAGCTAAACAAGGACAGATGAAGTTGGGGAACAAATAACAAAAACCTCATTAATGCCAGACTTAAGGTAAAAGTAAGAGAGTAAAATGGACCAAAGAATAACCCAAAACTTCCCTATACACTCAATTTAATGCTTCAGCATATTAAAAATGCACCTGGAAAGCTGATGGATATTCTAGTGAAACCCTCCCCTAAAACTCTTGCCTGCAGGGGAAAAAAATGTATAAAAAGACCTCAGGCAAAGACTCAATGGGGATTTGCTCTAGTCTAGAGCATGCCCACATCCCTTCCTGGGCATGAACTTTTTATTTCTTCCTGAATTCTAAGGGTCCCCATAAGACTTGCAGCCATAGGAGTGGTGGGCAGTGGTAGCTTGATCAGGGCTCACCCCCTGATCCTGTCTCCAAAGGCCCCTTTTTCTCTTAGCTAACAGCATCTTCACCTTGGCTCACTTCTCTCCTATAACATTTCTAGAGAGCCAAAGCAGAACACTGCCCTCAGTTTCCCTTGTTCTTTCTTCTATCCTAATTTATTTCTTTGTTTCATTGTCCCCAACATTAATAAACATACTCTCAAACCTATCTGTATTCATGTTGCAAAATATTTCCTACATGAAGTAAAGGACTCACACATTACAGTTCAGCCTGAGGAAGGCCTGTTCTGGCTGGCCCCTGTCCAGTAATAGTCCCACTCAACTTGTGAACTCAACCACGCTGTTTCTAGTAGTCTTTTCCATACAAATGGACTGTCTTGTCTCATGCTAAAAATGTCCTAACATCTCTAAAATAAGCAGCATCTGTCTTGGAAATACTACATGGCCCTAGCCTGGCACTAGTGATAGCCAGCCTTGTTTCACAGCTTGTCCTCTTCTGGGCACCTTCAAGCCCAGCACAAGTATCAATCATCTGAAGATCTCTTTGTAGCTCAGGCTGCCAGGCCTACGAAAAGGCACAGGTGGCAGCTGACCTTGGCCTACACCTATGAGAGACCCCAGAGTCAGTGCCCCCAGTACACAACTTCGGACCACATTGAAGCACCATCCAACCACCTTCACAAATTACACTCAAGAGGCTAACTTGTTGAGCATTGGAACCTTGTTGAAGTGACACCTATTCCATGGAGTGGGCCCTGAACAGCAGCTCCTCCATTATGATTGTAGCCCATCCTCAAAGCTGATTGGCTGGAGGGTCAGCCAATCATGTACCAATAACAATCAAGGCTCAACTACAACAGAAGGGAGCATGCACATGGGCAAAGGGTGTGCACCTGGAATGCCCAGCTCAGGTGACCAAGGAGACTATGCCACTACTATATAAGTCCATTCTGCTGGGAGACATAGTAGCTCTACCTAGTATACAGAAGCAAGCACAGGGAGGCAGCCAAAATGAGGAGAGAAAGAAACATGTCCTACATGAAATAACAGAACAAAACTCCAGAAAAAGAACTAAACAAAATGGAGACAAGCAATGTACAAGATGCAGAGTTCAAAACACTGGTTATAATGATGCTTGATGAACTTAGGGGAAAAGTAGAGGAACTTAAAACTTCAAGAAAGAAATAGGAAACATTAAAAAGAATCAGTCATAAATGAAGAGTGCATGAACTGATATGAAGACTACATTACAGGCTATCAACAGTGCAATAGATGAAGCAGAATATCAAATAAGAGATTTTTTAAAAATATATATTTTATTGATTTTTCACAGAGAGGAAGAGAGAGGGATAGAGAGTTAGAAACATCGATGAGAGAGAATCATCGATCAGCTGCCTCTTGCACACCCCCTACTGGGGATGTGCCCACAACCAAGGTGCATGCCCTTGCCCAGAATCGAACCCGGGACCTTTCAGTCCACAGGCCGACACTCTATCCACTGAGCCAAACTGGTCCCAGCAAATAAGAGATTTTTTTTTAGATAATGAAGCAGTAAATACCCAATCAGAACAGAAAAAAAAAAAAAAGAGTCCAAAAAATGAGGATAGTTTAAGGAGCCTTTCGGACAACTTAAAGTGTACCAACATTTGCATCATGAGGGTGCCAGAAGAAGAAAAGAGAGAGTAAGAAATTTGAGACCTCTTTAAAGAAATAATGATGGAAAACTTCTGTAACCTGGTGAGGGAAATAAACATTTAAGTCCAGGAAGCGCTGAGTCCCAAACAAGATAAACCCAAAGAGGCTGACACCAGGACACATTATAATTAAAATGCAAAAAGTTAAAGATAAATTATCTTAAAAGCAGCAAGAGAAAAGCAGCTAATTACTGATGAGGGAGCTCCCATAAGACTATCAGCAAATTTCTCAATAGAAACTTTGCAGGCCAGAGGAAGTGACATGAAATATTCAAAGTGATGAAAAGTAAGGACCTACAACCAAGATTACTCTACACACCCAGCCAAGTTACTGTTTAGAATTGAAGGATAGATAAAGAGCTTCCCAGAAGATAGATAAAGAGCTTCTCATCACCACCAAATCAGTATTACAGGAAATGTTAAAGGGACTTTTTTAAGAAAAAAAAAAGAGACATGAATAATAAAGTGGCAATAAATAAATTTTTATCAGTAACTATGTTAAATTCAAATGGGTTAAATGTTCCAATCAAGAGGTATACATTAGCTTAATGGATAACAAAATAAAACCCTTACATATGCTATCTACAAGCGACTCATTTCACATCAAAAGACACGGAGGCTGAAAGTAAAGGAATGGAAAAGATATTTTATGAAAATGGAAACAAAAAAAAAAACTAGGGTAGCAATACTTATACCAGACAAAATAGACTTCAAAACAATGACTATATAAAGACAAAGAGCATTCCAGAAATTACATTTCTGGGTATTTATCAAAGAAAACACTAAATTAAAGACATATACATCTCTATGTTTGTTGCAGCATTGTTTACAATAGCCAAAATATGGAAGCAACCCAAGTTCTCATCAATAGATGAATGGTTAAAGAAGTGTTCATATATACAATAGAATATGATTCAGTTACAATAAATAATAAAATGTTGCCATCAGCAATAACATGGAGAAACCTAGAGGATAAGAAGGTATTGTGCTGGGTGAAATAAGTTAGATAGAAAGACAAATGCCAGATGATTTCACTTATATATGGAATCTAAAAAATAAAGTAAACAAACAGAAACAGACTCGTACATAGAGAACATTTTGACAATTGCCAGATTTGGGGTGGGTGGGTAAAAAGGTGACAGGATTAATAAGTACAAATTGGTAGTTATAAAATAGTCACAGGCTTGTAAAGTACAGCATAGGGAATATAGTCAACAATACTGTGATAACTAGGTATGATGTCAGATGGAATTCTAGATTTACTGGGGTGATCACTTCATAAATTATATATTTATATATAATAATGAGGTTGTACACCTGAAACTAATATTTTACACTAAATGTAACTGAAAAAAATAAAGAGATATTAAATATAAAGAGAAAAAACCTGATAAAAAGACCAGAATAGAGTACCAAAGACTCAGAGACAACTACAAAAAGTGTAACATTCATAATGGGATTACCAGAATGAGAGGAGGAGGAGTAAGAGATGAGGGGAGAAGGGGGAGAAGGAGAAATATTTGCAGCAATAAGAACTAATAATTTTCTCCAACTTAATGTTATACACGAATTCAAGATCCAGAAAGCTCAGAGAACTACAAGCATGATACATGCTTATCTTAGCACTTTTACATTAATTTCTGTGGGCATTTGATTAATATCTGTATCCCATTCTTGAATGCATATTGCAGGTGAGCAGAGACTTTATTTTTTTTGCACATAATAATGCTCCCGGAATACATCAGAGTGCCTAGCCTTTGTTTGGATATATAATAAATACTTATTGGATAAATAAATCTAAGCTTTGAACTCATAATTGGGAAGTTTGGTATGAAAAGTTTATACATGTAATTCCTCTCCATACTATCCACTAGTATATGAAGATGAGTTACTCCCCAAGAAGTTAGTGAGCTGCAGTTTGACACTCATCTGGAGATTATCCTAGCTTTTTCTTTTTTAGTTCAGTGTCATCTTGTACATTTACCCGAATTTCTTGAACATTTCTAACTTGTATAGAACAATGTTTTCTGTATCTGTTAGTTTTCATGAATACTATTCCAAACACAGTGTTCAATTCCTTGGTTGGAAAATATGAAATACTTTATGTTCATAAGTCAACCAGTGGAGGTAAAAAGATTGCAAGGTTGGGGATGAAGGTGAGGGAATGCAATTGTTTCTCTTAGGACTCACACTGTGGATTTTAGGTATTAGTTTCAAATGAGTTTACTTAACGCCTGAATCTATTTCTGCACTTCCAAAAGTATTAGAAACACCTAAAGCCCAAAATATTGTGAGAATTATTTTGGTGAAATGTCTGTTGAATTATTTTTTAAACTGTACAGTAACACAAATTTACATGATTATCTAAATTCTATAGAGTTGGAGTGAATCCTAAAATAGGAATGGGAGCATGGAGGAGGTCTCTGACAAAGTCTTATAATTTGTGGGTAACTACTTTTTATGGTACATTTCTATATTGTTTTTTAACTTGTTTTTTAAATGAATAATGGAGTAGTAGTTGCAGTACAGACAAACATGTCTTTAAAAAGAAGAAAGAGAAGAGGGAATAGCACTTTTCAAATACTGCATTTAATCAGCCAATTCGGTGTCTGTACTTCTCTACCATATTTCAGCTTCCTGGAAATCCTAAACTCACCCCATCTAGCTCTTACACGTGGTCTGGTTTCCCCCACGTGGGATTATGCGTCATCAAATTGTGACGTACATGCTCAATTGTGAGGTCATGTGCCCTCCAGAATATAAGGCGGGGCGTTGACAAGTAACCCAGTAGCACCAGGCAGTGTAGGAAGACCAGTACACTGGCCGGAGGCTTCTGGAGTTCCCTCGAGTGCCTGAGAGAGAGAGAGAAGAGGAGGAAGAGGAGCCATGAATATCCTGTTGCTCCTAATTGGTGGAGTTTTGTTCACCTATGTGTTTCTTTCTTGAAAAAAACAGCTTCAGGTAAAGTGTGTAAGAGAGATTGTAAAAAGATGAAACTAGGTAAATACATTGATGCGGTGGGTGGGGGTGGGAATTGTACAAGAAAGTAGGAATATAGTAAAATGGTACAATAAGCGTAAGGGAAGGCCGCCTCATTCCCCTTGTTCTCTTGATAGAGCCCCAGATGTTTATTCTTTACCGCCCCCCCACTTGTCTCATCTTGACCAGTGATTTGACAACTGCGATCTGTTGTTAAAAAAAAAAAAAAAAAAAAAAAAAAAAAAAAAAAAAAGGTCACTAAGTGATATGGTCAGCTTTTTACCCACTTGAAAAGTACAGCTTGAAGTGCCCATTCTCCACCACTGCCTCCTGTTTTAAGAATCTGTACCTTCTCTCTTTGGTTTTTACTGCCCCTATGTTCCTGTTTTCCTCTTCCTCTTCTGTATTTTCCTTTTCAGCCATATTTATGAGAACTTTAGGGGCATTCACAAATAATTCAAGCCAAAATGTGATATTCTTGGTGATATTTAAAGTTGCAAATGAAGTACTTTTAGGTAAGAGTCAGACTGAGTCCAAATATGGACCTGCTGGAGGGCCCAAGAAGTGTAAAGCAAGGATATGCCATTTTAGCATTAAAGGGGCACTTTTATATATTTCCCCCATCGGTCTGCGTTTGGTAATAGCATATTTCCAAATCAATGTAATAATTCAACAGGTTCTTAATTTCCAATTGTTAGGGTAGCACAGGCAGTTGATTTTAGTAACCAAGACTAAGCAAGTTGTTATTTGGTAGTATTTGTAAATTGCTAAACTTAGTAAACTACATATGTATGATTTCCTCCTCTTACAGAGAAACATTAGTGAAATGTCATCATCAGATTCGACTGTTTTTGTACTAGTAAGATCATCCTCTTCTACTTGGTCATATAAGCACAATACTGTTAACACTCTTACAGTCAGCAGCCTTTCTCAGGATATGTTAATTAATTCCCCACAATCAGTCATCATCCAGAAACAAATCCTGGTAAATCTCAGGATGGTGGAGTACAAGCTTGTTGAATTGGAACATTCCCCAGTTACTAAGGATGTAAATGGTGCATTAGTTAACCCTAATTCCACTGGCATGTGTATGGAATGTATTGACTATGAAGTCAATCATTAAAGGCACTTTGAGTGGATTCATTTGATTTTGTGAGTTTATACCAAATAGTTTATTTTTAAAAGAGGAGGAGATGCCAAATAAGGTACAAAATCAAGATATTTATCAATTTGCTTACTCACATGTAAATAATTGATTAGAAGTTGCTAATATCCGCATATTTAACTGGGGAAGTAATAAAAGCACAATAGAGAAAGTTATCTAGTTAAGATATAGTGATTTTAAATTTCACTCATGTGAAAAATGGTTTTCTCTAATAGTTTACAATATAGCCCCACACATGTCTCCAAGTTTGCATTATAGTAAATGAATTTGATGGAACACTTTTTATTAATGCATAATGTTATTTTTTGTGAAATCTGTGTAATAATAATAATAATCTGTCACTGAGCACGCAGGCACTCTGTTAAGATCATTACTTTACACGTTTGTGAAAAAAATCAGACACACTCTTAGTTACTCTTTGTAGTAAGTTCTTAAAGGGGTTTCTTCCCCATTATCCTTTTCCCACTGCCAATTATATATTATTTCCTTAGAAATGTACCTAAATCTTTCCTGAATTGCAAGAATAACCTATAGAAAATAATATGCATTTTATATTTGATTTAAAAAAAATCCACACTAATAAAAGAAAAAGAAGCAAATTGGCTGTACCTTCGTGATACCCACCAGCCAATAAGGAGTGAGTATGCAAATTAACCCAATAAACATGATGGGTTAATTTGCATACATAGGCACCAAGCTGCTGGGGCAGGACGCTTGCTTTTGTTGTCACCGTGGTGATGACACAGGCATTCTGCACCACACAAGCCACTCCAGGCCTCTCTGCAGTGTGGGAAAGCAGAAAGGTAGCTCCAATCAGAGCGAAGGCGGTGCTGGCAGCCAGGGGAAGGAAGGCCCATTCTTGCTAGAATCTTCATGCATTGGGCATCTAGTCAAAATATAATGGCAGAATGCCTGTGGTATAATATGGATTAAAATTAAGGAAAAAAGTACTTTTAAGCTCTAGTTACCCATCTATTTCATATAATACTTTACAAAATCTGGAGTAACTAAGAGCTAACAATCTATGGAAATTCACTAATAGAATTTGACCTACCTATCCTCAAAGAAAATCCTCAAAATATCTAAGATGAGTTTATCTTATATGTATGTACATAACTCATTGACTCATTCAATTACAGGCCTACCTACTTACCTACCTTCATGCCCACTCAAAATAAATTATTAGTATAAATTTTAAAATGCTTTAATTCCTTACTCCTATAATCTTCAATCTAAAGAAAGAAAATGAATTTAAAATGTATAAGAACTTAAAGTTTAAAATTATTCCTTTTATTTTTTAACTTGCCAAGAAGAAAAGCTAGCAGTGGTATGTGTGGTTCTTTTGAGACACAAATTCCTTTGATATTCTGTTGAAGATTATGGATACTTTTCTTAGAAAAATGCATGCATACATACACATAGAAAAATATTGCATATAATTTTACTTAGATGATAGGCAGTTAGACAGACATGAGCAGAGCAAGGACGATAGGACAGATACAGAAGGGCACCAGGGTGGAAAGCCCCAGGTGCCTATCAAAGGACAATGGTAGAGTGGGACCTCACCCCCTGGATGACCTTTCTTCCCCTAACATATCACTGGTCTTACAGTTTGGATCCCCTGACCTTTTCTCCCTAGAGGTAACATCTAGGCCTCAGTTGCATTTCAGCTCCAGGCCCAGAAAAGCAGCAAAACTAGACAAGTGGCCCCATGGCTGACCTGAGAATCAGCTGCATTGGATAATGACTGCTTGCCCTGGTGCCAACCAGTCAATCAGTGAAGACCTAGACCCTGAAAAGTCATACCTGGAAAACTGCTAATTATTCTGTTAAGATCTTACCTTGGGACCTCCCCTAAAATCTCCACCCTTAAAACCTTTAGAATGAGGACCCAGTGCACTTTCCCTCCCAGGAGGACTCCCTGCCTTCCCCTCTCCTTTCGCTGTCCCCAGGCACTTACCATTAGTTCCCTCACTCCCAAACTCCAAGGGCCCTTCCTTTACCTTTATAACTTGTTTCATAAGCCCATTTCTCCTACAAATTACTTCTTCCACCTCTGTGATTTTATAAATAAATAAATAAGTGTTGGCTCTGATTTCTGTCCTAGCCAGAACTCAGGTGCCAAGGTTGCTAAATCCAAGTCCAGCATGACCCCCACCAATCTAACACCTGGTGTTTTTCCAGCTGCCTTCCATATGTTCTCTATGATCTCTGAAGCCCAGGTTCAAAACTTTAAGAATAGTTGAAAAATTTCTTACATATTTAGGCAATGTTCATCATGCTAGGCTGTGATGTTTCAACCAATTGTCAATAATATGTAATCACTGTAAAAAAAACAACAACTATGAATCATGTAATATGTTTTCATTATCTTCTGTAAGGAAACTGGGACATAGGACTTTCTAATTTGGTTTCTTTCATTATTGGCAAGTTTACCAAATTTATCTCCTATAAGGATGTAAACAAGTTATCACTCGTAAGTAATAACTTATTCAAATAAGACAAAATCATTCTACTTGATCTACTAACAGTATATTGCAACATGTTTTTAAATTTGATTGAATCCATTTCCTCATTCATATTTTGTTCTATGTTCTATTTGAAATTACACCTAGATTGCCGAGACCATTTTGGCTCAGTGGATAGAGCGTCGGCCTGCGAACTGAAAGGTCCCGGGTTTGATTCCAGTCAAAGGCATGTACCTTGATTGCGGGCACATCCCCAGTGGGGGGGGGGAGGCGTGCAAGAGGCAGCTGATCAATGACCCTCTCTCGTCGATGTTTCTAACTCTCTATCTCTCTCCCTTCCTCTCTGTAAAAAAATCAATAAAATATGTAAAAAAAAAAAAAAAAAAAAAAAAAAAAAAAGAAAGAAAAGAAATTACACCTAGATTTCAGAGAATACAATGGACTACTCTTAATTTTCTAAAATAGTAGAAATTAGATGGTTCATGTTTTTCTTCCAAATATAACCTAAGGAAGAGATTATATGGGAAAGGGAGTACTTAAAGATTCTGGTTTCTATTTTCTATATAGATATATCACTTACAGTACACAGGATCCTTATTTTTCTGTCTTATTTTATGATCCTATTTAATAAAGAGATAATATGCAAATTGACCCTCACACCCTTGCATCACAAGATGGCCGCCCCTACATTGTCACAAGATTGTCAGCAGGGGAGGACAGTTGTGGGCAACCAGGTCTACAGAGGAAGGTAGTTGAGGGTGATCGTGCTGGCAGGCAGAGTAGTTAGGGGCAATCAGGCAGCCAGGCAGGCAAGTGGTTAGGAGCCAGCAGTCCCAGATTGTGACTGAACCAGTAGTCTGACATCCCCTAAGAGGTTCCAGATTAGAGATGGTGCAGGCTGGGCTAAGGGATATCCCTCCAGTGCAGGAGTTTTGTGTAGCAGGCCTCTAGTTTGTAAATAAAGGACATAACTACTAAATTCACATAGAAAACATTAGCCATTAATACCTAAAGTTTTTAGACATATTTGGATCAAAAGTATTAAACTATATCCACATGTTATATATATAGTCCATTTATTCCATATATCTATAGCATTTCTAATTAAGTGAGGCCTTCAGTTTTAATACTTTAAATACACTGATTTATTTTCCCCAGCATTATGGGGAATAAAATATTGTATAACAAGAAAATATAAACAACTAATATTATAAAACTTGTACAATAGAAAATATAACTATTTTCTAAATAACCTTCTCAAATTAAAGCCTTCAATATGTTATGGTAATATGTACAAAAACGTTATTATGAATTAGAGACAGCTATGTGTGTGTTAATACGGATGGATCATTTAAAAATATATATAATAGGCACATTGCTAAACATTACTAGATTCACATTTTTATATTGCATTCCTGCTTAAGTGAGAAAAAATAACTGTTATACTATTATGAACATAATATATACATTTTATTCAATTAACATACAAATAAATAAAAATTTTCTCTAAAATAATCACATTACACATGCACATATTTTTTTTAATTTAGAAGTTATTCTGGTTTTACACTGCTACTGACAGTAGGTATTTCATGGTCAATCTCTTTCTTAGGATCCACCATGTCTTTATATCTCTCCCCACGGTGTCGTTCCAGGTATGGACCCCAGTTAGAAGCTGGTCTACAGCAGCTTACAATACGCTGAAATAAGGAGGGGGAAAAAGCTGTCTTAGAACTTAAGTGCTACAATCTGTAGATAAATATCAATGTACACTTTTTTAGAATGTTAAATTTCTTTGCCCTAGCCTTAGGGTGACTGGTGAGGATATAAACCAGTGTATACCTGAGAAGTTTCAAGAACCAAAGAAAGGTAGTTTCATGATAAAGCAATCTAGATCCATTCTTGAATGGGGTTAGGCATTTATTTTAAATCTAACTACTGAGCCCAGCTGGTAAGGCTCAGTGGTTGAGTGTCAACCTATGAACCAGGAGGTTACATTCGATCCCAGTGGAGGGCATGCAAGAGGGAGCGAATAATTATTATCTCTCATCACTGATGTTTCTATCTCTTTCTGTCTCTGTTTCTTCCTCTCTGAAATATATATATATATATATATATATATATATATATAGTCTGATTACTGAGCTTACCTTATTATTGCCCTATGCCCTAATGATGTGTCATAATCAACTCCATCCCTCTAGGCCTCCAAGAAAGAGGGATGACTCACGACCTAGTTTTGGATCAAGATAATTTATAAGGATTTTCCCAGTCTAAACATTCTATTAGGATATAAAATATAAACAGAGCGGGTTTTTTTTCTTTCAGACCAGGTTTTTCAAGTGAAGATTATAGATATAACACAAAAAAAGTATAGATATGATAACATATGTGCTAAGCACTCTAATACCACCCGAGGCTACAGCAACAAGCAAGATAAGACTTCTTAATGGACCTTATAGTCTAGTACAAGGAGACACACAAATATACGTATAGTGTAATACAGTGCTATGCACCTAATAATGGATGTTTGTCTCAGATGCAGAAGTAGCCTAAAGGGAAGAGTGATTAATTTGATCTCACAGTCATAAGCTCATATTACCAACATTTTGGTAAGTTAATCTTTAGTTTGATCATAGTGCTTTATATGAAGTAGAAATAATATTAATTTTTAATTGAATTTATTGGGGTGACATTGGTTAATAAAATTACACAGCTTTCAGGGGTACAATTCTATAATATATCATCTGTATGTAAACTAATAAAATAAAAACAGACTTATAGATAAAGAGAACAGACTGGCAGCTATCAGAGGGAGAGGGTTGGGGTACTGGGTGAAAAGAGTGAAAAAATTAAACAACACCCCACCAAAAAAAAAACAACTAATAAACAACAGTATGATGATTATCAGAATGAAAGGAGGTGGGGAAAAGTAAGAAAGGGTAAAAGGGGGGAAAAGGGATAAAAGGGGGACAAATGGTGATGGAAAGACACTAGATTTGGGGTAGTGAACAAATAATTTAATGTGCTTACTTGAATGATGTTTCCTTTAGCTTGAATTATTTTTATAATAGCCATAATTGGAATCCAAATAATGCAGAAAATAATCAAACACCAGCCTATAGCAACTCCCCAGTCTGGAATTCCACCATAAGTTGGTTTATTAAATTTCACCAGTGACCAGATAAAAATTGCCTGTGAAAGTTAACATATGAAAGTACAGTGCAAAAGATCAGACTTTATTGCACTAATGATTTCAATTGCACTAATTATTAGAAATTTTATTCCATCTATTAGAAATAATTTATCAAAAGAAATTACAATGAAAATGCATTCAATCAACTAAGATAATCAGATAACTAGTCAAAAGATAACAATTCTAAGTGGACCAATCTAAATGACTTATATTTGGCTTTTAATAGATTCTTTCAAAATTAGCATGTCCATCTATTTATAAAAAATACAAATACTTGTCCAACATGTATTTCAATAAAAAACTTTCCCATAAAATATAGCATACTGTAAGTAAAATAATAACTGAGATATTCTGTTATTGAACTTATAACTTTTGTTTATAATAGCATGATTTTATTCTAAGCCATTAGCTAGCAAGCATATAAATTAATTTAATGAGAATGCAAAATATACTTTAGTGAACATGCTTTGATTCTTACTTAGCAATTATTTCTATTAATTGCACAGAGCATCCCTTACTCCATACCCAAACTCACACACATTCACTTACTAATATACATACATGTTTACCAAAGCACACATCACTTCCAGCCTCTTGAGAAAAAAACAAGCAAAAAATGTGTTTATTAAAACATTGAAATCTGAATCTTAAAGCATGTTAAGGCCGCATTTTAAAAAAATGTCTTTAAAAAACATGTTGCAGCATTAAAACTAATTACATATTTAGAAATCTGTAAAACAAATTAAAACCAAAAATCACCTAGTAGTTCCTCTAAATTTAGTTTAAATGTATTTAGAACACAAGAATCTTTTTAAAGTAGATATTCAAATTTCATTTTACAATTTAATAGATTAATTTAATTACAGAAATTTAAATATATTTTATAATTACCATAATTTTACATAGCTAAAAGAGAATAAAGGAGGGGTAGTGGAGTCTAATATGCATAACCTTATACAAATGGCTGATGATGTATGTCATTTAATAGTTAATACCTTTGCATTCATAAGTAAACTCAGTTGTCACCTTGACCTGGTGACTCCGTCGGTTGGAGCATTATCCTGTACACCAAAAGGTTGTGACTTTGATTCCCAGTTAGGGCACCTACCAAGGTTTACAATTTGACCTGGGTCAGGGTGTGTACAAGAGGCAACCAATCCATGTTTCTCTTTCACATTAATGTTTCCCCCTCTCTCTATCTCTTACTTCCTCTCTAAAATCAATAAAACCTATGCACTCAAAATAATACTGCAAAGACATTTTAATTTAGGCAACTCGGAGGTACCAGTCATAAAGCAAAAGTTGAAAAATCATTAATTTATGACATTTGCCTTTTTGTCTTCAATGTGAGTTATTCTTCAATTTTATCTCAGATATGTTTACATATATATTATTTACACTAAATTCATAGACTATTAATACTTACAATCAAAAGAATAGGTGTAATGACAAACCAGCAAGCTCTCCACCATAGCCAGAATATCCACCTTTTTGCTCCAATCATCATTTCTATGTCTTCAATGAATCTGTTCCCTCCTAAGAAAACAACCAACAGAGTATATTTAGTCCTTGCTTATATTTTCCTCCATTAATTATTGTGGCCTCAAATTTTGTCTAAACATTTTTCTATACTACAGCAATGAAGGATACACATTTACATTTTATTTATATTTGACCAATTATATTATACTTTACTATTATAGTACACATAATGAAAAAGAATCAAACTAAATTACTTTAATAAAAAGAGTAGATAATTATAAGAGTCACCACTTACCATAAATCCAGATGATTCCTACTATTTCCAGTATAGCTGCAATCAAAATGCCCCATCCAGCACAGAAGTGGTCAATCAGATTAACCCAGTAAATTCCAGCCTATCAAAAAATTAATTTTCAGAGTATAGTTATAATTATTTTTATGATTTATTAAGCATTCAAATTGAATTTATTCATTTTATTTTAGCATATGCTCCTTGATTTCACCTCTGCCAAAAATGTGAAAAGGAATATTTTCAAATGTGAACACAAATGTGGATTTAAATCTCAAAAATTATGTCCTTTTTTTTTTTTTACAAGAAGTCACTTGGAAAAAAGCATTTAGAATAATTATTAAAATGTATGCAGTATCTGTGCATTCTGTAGTAGTGGCCAAGAAATATAGTGTATGTTTAAAGTCTCTAACTTTATTGTAATTGGGGAAATTGTTCATTAGTGGGCCTCCTGCCCCTCTGCAAAATATACTTATAGAAATTGTGCTATAATGGCAAACAATCTGGGCTAAAATTCAGAAAACTTTGATCCAAGTCAGACTTGGACTTGTCATTAAACATTCTCTTAAACCATGGTTTTCTCATTGAGATTATAAAGTATGTTCCTAGTAATATTTTGTCTATGGAAAAAAATCTATAATATACCTGAGTTACACAGACGAGACCAAGGAGAAACAAAACCAGGCAGCAACCCAAAGTTATGGGAATTCTCATTTTCTTCATCACTTTGGGAAATAAATCTTGAATTGTTGTTGTAATTGTTTCTTCAGTAGGGGAAAAAATGGCATGTTATATTGTCAACTCATTTGCCAATCACATAATTCAACTTCTATTCATGAAATTTACAAATATATATTGAGAAAACAGTCTAGCCTTAATCATAGCTTTTAAAAACCTGTAAGATCCTTTCTCTTGGCTGTCACCACTTTTTGGTTCTGATAAAAATCAAAGGCAGTTCCATTGTCCTATGTAGTCTGTTTTATAAGGTTTTTTCATTGGTAGCAACTTAAATTAACAGGTCCCTGGGGGATGAAGTAGTTTGAAAGGGTTATAGGGAAGGAAGAAGTCTAAAGGTGAATACCAGTATTTCAATAAATAACATGGATACAGAAAGGCTTTCCAGGTTAAGAAATAAATGTATTCCCATAAGCCACCAAACCAAATCATTGATTATTTTATACAAATAATTATAATAATCTAAAAATCATATAGAAGAATTAAAACTTGATATCAGTATATTAAGAAATTAAAACCTTTTAAAAAGAAAAAGGAGGAGAAACCAAGGAGAAACTTAAACAGTTGCCTTGCACAACAATTTCAAAACTACATCTAAAAGGCAAAACGTCTATCACCCAGAACAATGGGAAAGCTGGCTGAGTGGAAGTTCTACAACTAGAAGGAAAGACAAAAGAGCATTGAAACAGGCACAAGCACTGAAAAGCTAAGGTACAGAGGTGTAGGAATAGGGCTGGTGGCAGGCGACTGGGTGTCTGCTTTTCTTTTTTTTTTAACTCAAAGGAAGACAAACTCCGGATTACACTGAAATCCAGTTTCTGGGGAGATGCTGGGACCCAAACTCGGGGAGAGCTGCATTGTCTGCCATCGGGTTGGAAAGTTTGGGTGACTTTTTTTAAGAGGTGAGCCCAGCAATCATTGTTTACTGCAATTCAGGAAGCAGGGACTTGGAAACATGGAAACACAGAGAAGGCTGACAGGCAGCCACTGCTGCTTGCCATGCCCTAGTCTAATGACTCCCTGAGACTTCACTCTGCACAATCTACAAACCCTCCCAAGCTCCACAAAGCAGCTTTTGCATATAAATGGCCTGCCCTATTGTAGCTTAACCAAACAAACTGCAACTCCACTCAGACAGCTCCAAAACCTCCAAACCCCAAGCAAAAAGGAGAAAACTGTAGTTCTTGCTGTAGCTCTTGCTGGGTGGCCTCAGACAGTAGCTGACCTGCACCCCATTGGAGATCCAGAAGCTAGTGTATCTAGTAGTCTTTGTGAGATGACACCAGATTTCAATTACTCTCACAAGGGACACATTCAAGAGGCAGACTCAGTGAGCACCAAAGCCCCACTAAAACAAATCCTGCCCAATAAGTGTGTCTCCAGCACAGCAATTCTTTCATTATAGACACAGCAGATCCCCACAGCCAATTGTCCTGGAGGTCACTTCCTCCCAGTGTACCAATAGCAATCAAGACTTAACTACAATAAGGCTGTACACACAGCCCACAAAGGAGTGCACCAAGAGTGTCCACCTCAGGTAACTAGGAGGCCTACCCATTGGACACCTAGCAAACAAAGCCACCCTACCAACTCAGGGAGGCAGAAAAAATGAGGAGACAAGGAAACAGATCACAAATGAAAGAAATGGAGGAAAACAAACAACTGGGTAGAAATTAAACATACACTGACTGAAATAAAGAATATTATACAGAGACCCAACAGCAGACTAGAGGAATGGAAGAATCGAGTCAAAGATTCGAAATACAAAGAAGCAACAAACACTCAACCTGAAAAGAAAAAAGAATCCAAAAAGTTGAAGATGGTGTAAGAACAACTTCAAGTATACCAACATCAGAATTATTGGGTTGCCAGAAGAAGAGAGAGAGCAAGATACTGAAACCCATTTGAAGAAATAATAACAGAGAACTTCCCTTATCTGGTGAAAGAAATAGACTTACAAGTCCAGGAAGCACACAGAACTCCAAACAAAAGGAATCCAAAGAGGACCAACCGACACACATCATAATTAAAATGCCAAGGGCAAAAGACAAAGAATATTAAAAGCAGCGAAAGAAAACCAGTTAATTACCTACAAGGGAGCACCCATATGAAAGTCAGCTGATTTTTCAACAGAAACTATGCAGGCCAGACAGGAGTGGCAAGAAATATTCAAAGTGATGAATAGTCAGAACCTACAACCAAGATTACTCTACCCAGCAAAGTTATCATTCAGAATTGAAGGTCAGATAAAGAGCTTTACAGATAAGAAAAAGCTAAAGAAGTTCATTACCACCAGTCCAGCACTATATGAAATGCTAAAAGGTGTTCTTTAAGAAGAGAAAGAAAAAGAAAAAAGTAAAGATAAAAACTATGAACAACAAATACATAGCTATCAACAAGTGAATCTAAAAATCAAGTGAATTAAAAATCTGAGGAACAGAATAAACTGGTGAATCTAATAGAATCAGGGGCATAGAATGGGAGGGGATTGATAATTCTCAGGGGCAAAGGGGTGTCTGTGTGGGGGTACGGGAAGAGACTGGACAAAAATCATACACCTATGGATGAGGACAGTGTAGGGGGGAGGTAAGGACAGAGGGTGGAGTGAGAACTGGATGGAGGGGAGCTATGGGAGAGGAAGAGAAACAATTGTAATAATCTAAGCAATAAAAATTTATTAAATAAAAAAATAAAAAGTGACAAATCTTTGATTAGATTGACTAAGATATAAAGTGAGAAAAATCAAATTACTAAAATCAGAAAAGAAAGTAGGACATTACTATATATTTTATAGAAATAAAAAGGAGCATAAGAGAATACTATGAACAGTATTTGCTTTTGGGAGAGGAACTAGATGGCAGGGGAACAATGAGATTTTATTTTTTGAATTTTGTCTTCCATGTATGAGTAATATGTTTAACCAGTAAAAACAAACTTGTGAACATGAGAACATATTAAAAAGGAAAATAATATATTAAAATGTAAATTATTTGTTCTACACTTTCTAATGTTCCTGTTATAAGCTTGTGTTACCTTCATGATTGGTATAAAAACCTGCCCTTGCCGATGGTTAGATCATCGGCCTGGAACTGAAGGATCTTGAGTTTGACTCCCAGGCAAGGGCACGTATCTGGGTTGCAGATTCAAAACCGAGCTCAGATCCAGGTGCATTTGGCAGGTAACCAATCAGTATGTCTCTCTCACATTTATGTTTTTCTCTGTGTGTCTCTTTCTCTCTTCCTCCCTCCCTTTCTCTCTTCCACTCTCTAAAAATCAATGAAAAAAATATCATTGGGTGAGGATTAACAAAATAACAACAAAAGATATTTTTTAAAAAGATATGTTTTTGTTGATTTAGAGAGAGGAAGGGAGAGAAAGAGATGGAAACATTGATGAGAGGGAAACATCTACATTGATTGGCTGCCTCCTGCATGCCCTCTGCTAGGATCAAGCTCAAAACATGGCATGTGCCCTGATCAGGAACCAAATTGTGACCTCTTGTTTCACAGGCCAATGTTCAACCACTGAGCTACACTGGCTAGGCCCAAAAAAGATTTTTTAATATTTGTCATATTTGTGTATATACAAGTTTTGCACTCCCAGGTGAGACCTCTGCCTGAACTGAGAATGGAAACATTTTAGAAACAGAAAAGAAGTCCTAGCCAGATTGGCTCAGTGGATAGAGTATCAGCCTGAGGACTGAAGGGTCCTGGGTTTGATTCCAGTCAAAGGCACATGTCTGGGTTGCGGGTTTGATCCCCAATGTGGGGCGTGTAGGAGGCAGCTGATTGATGATTCTCTCTCACTGTTGATGTTTCTATCTCTCTCTCTCCCTTCATCTCTGAATTCAATAAAAATATATTGAAAAGAAGGAGAGAAGACGAAAGAAAGAAAGAAAGAAAGAAAGAAAGAAAGAAAGAAAGAAAGAAAGAAAGAAAGAAAGAAAGAAAGAAAGAAAGAAAGAAAGAAAGAGGGAGGGAGGGAGGGAGGGAGGAGGGAGGGAGGGAGGGAGGGAGGGAGGAGAGGAAGTAAGGAAGGAAGGAAGGAATGAAGAAGGAAGGAAGTAGTAAGGCATTAAGGAGTAAGGAATCAAAAGAGAAGGTTCTCAGGAAGCCAAAGAAGGAAGATGTCATTCTAAAAATAGATTGAAATGTGTTGACTGGACTCAGGCATTTTAGAACTAATTTTTAAGTGCCAGTAATCAGGTAATGGTCACACAAAGGCTGGCGGAAGCCAGTGTGATCAGGTCCCTGGAAACCAGCTGGTAAAGCTGGGAAGAAGAAGCTGGCTGTGCATGTGGTATGGGCATGGTCAGCACCTGCAAATACTGACAAGCAGCACCCACACTAAATTCTGTACCCACACTAAGAGGGGAAAAGCCTGGGCTCTGGTCAAAAGCAATGAGCCAGGTCACTCTCTGGATTGACATCACTCTTATGCCAAAAGAACACAGGCAGATCAGACTGTCTTTTAATTTGTGCTAAATGGAAAGAGTGCTGGACAAGAATCCAAATAGTTCAAAGCTTTGAGGCTTGGCCCTCTGGCCCATTTATCTCTGTGCTTCTCTTTGCCCAGGCCAGTGAAGAACCCTGGACTCTGCAGAGTCAAGATTGTCTAGACAAATCAGAATATCCTAACTTTTTTAAATGAACAAAAATTGTGTGGAATATTTGTTTGGATTTTGTGTTGCCTCCCCAATAGGAATGGAAGCTCCATGAGAACAGGACGCTTTTTCTGCTCCAATCACTGCCATTTTCTCAAAGCTCAGAAGACAGCCTAACACAAACGATTGCTCAGAAAGTTCTTGTTGAGTTACAAAAAAAAAAAGAGAAAAGAAATGAAGGAAGGAAGGAAGGAAGGGAGGGAGGGAAGGAGGAGGGAAGGAGAGAGGGAGGGAGGGAGGGAGGGAGGGGGGAGGGAGAGAGAGAGAGAGAGGAGAGAGAGAGAGAGAGAGAGAGAGAGAGAGAGAGAAAGAAAGAAAGAAGAAAGACAAGAAAGAAAGAAAAAGAAAGAAAGAAAGAAAGAAAGAAAGAAAGAAAGAAAGAAGAAAGAAAGAAAGAAAGAGTTCATTAAAAAGAGTACTGGCTAAAAGTAGAAGGGTGCTTGAGTAAAAGAATTAAGCAATATATTTGAAATTTTTGAGGGTTTTGAAAGTTAATTAAAGGATGCTGGACTTTGCCCCATAGACAGTAAACTATTAAAATGTTTTATATAAGAGGACTATATAATAAAAACTCAGAATTTCTTGATGTATACTCTAAGGAAAATACTTATCTATACATAGAGCCATGTGCAAAAATAACCATTGCAGTAGTTTGTGTGAGTTTTAAAAATTGGAAATAATTAGCTATAATAGTTCCATATGTCTATGCATCAACATGGGTTGATAATATATGTAAAATACAACTGTCAGAATATGTATGGAATGAAACTTCACATTTATGTGAACATTTAAAATTTTGTTATTTATGGATACATATAAAATGAATACAAACATGGATTGTATATGTCACAATATTCATGGTGACATTTATTCCAGGGAAGGAAGAAATGTGAATTGTATCAGAGAGAGGAACATGGGGCACTTCAAATTCATCTTTAACAGTTTATTTTTAAAACATCTGAAGCAAATATAACATTAATGTTTGTTCCTTTTGGGTGTTTTGATTCATGAATACTTTTAATTTAAGTTAAAAATATTTTCAGAAAGATTTTTCTGAGAGAAAAACTAGGGGGGCAACAAGGGTTAAGAAAAGAATAATTTTAGTAGAAGAAACATAAGTACAATACAAAATAGATAGGCTAACAGTGGGAGTATTACTTACCGATAGAAGCAAACTGAGAGTCGAGACCCAAAGTCAAAAGCATGAAGAAAAATAATATGGACCAGAATGGTCCACCTGGGAGCTGGGCTAGAGCTTCTGGATAAGCAATGAATGCCAAATCAAAACCTAAGAAAAATGCATAACATTTTAATTTAAATTAGTTGCCAAGAAAATTCCCATATTTGGACATTTTCAAAATAAAGTACTAGAAAAACCTCATTTTAATTTGGTAACACAATCTATGAAATATATTTTTAGCAACTATTTCACTTTCACTTTTAAAAATATTTGACTTGGTTATGATCTGAACCCATGATGTGAATTAAGCTAAAGAGATCAATTTTATAAATGGTACATTTCTCACATTAAAAATCTTAATTATTTCATTGAGTTTGACTTTTTTTTTAAATTGATGAAGAATAATATCTTTCTTAAACTCCAGAAACTTAAATTATCTTACCCTAGAAATTTTAAAAGAATCAATTAACCAAATGATGTTCAGGCTGGACACAGATGGGCAAAGTCACTTGGGTTTCTATCTATATGATATTAATGTGTTTTTAAAATGCAGACCAATACTGTAAACACACACACACACACACACACACACACACACACACATCCTTGCTTTTATATATGCATACACAAATAAACACAATTCAGTAAAGTGCTTATTATGATTTCTAATATTTATAATTATGCAGGATATAATTCATATTAAAAACTAAATAAAATTCAGGAAAAAAATCTTAAATTGTTTCCTAGTATAGTCTTATTTTCTCAAATCATCTAATAATTATTTCATCCTTAAAGCCAAAGTATAATATATAAGATGAAATGAGAAAGAAATGCAATACCCTAAATCTTGAGTGCTTTAAGTAAATTGCTCTAAAATATATTGGTATTACTTAAATGAGCTACATTGAGTTAATAAAAATTAATAATATATAGCATTCCATACCTGATTTTACAACTTGAGAAACTTCCTGTCCAGAGATGTGAGCCATGTGTCCCAATATAGAAAAAATAGCAAATCCAGCAAACACACTAGTGAGGCAGTTTGTCAAACATACCACAATGGCATCTGAGAAGCAGTTGTTATTGAACTTGTTGTAAGATGATAGAGCAACTAAGCCACCCCAAGCCACTGAAAGGGAGTAAAATATCTGTGTAGCAGCATCTTTCCAAACCTATGAGAAAATAAGTTGATATTTTAAAACATACACTCTTCATTTTAATTTGCATAAAATATTTTATATATACAAAAGAATGAATATAATGAAATCAACATCCAAGTACCCACTACTCAGATCACTAAATAAAATGTTAGTGGTCTTTTGAAGACCCAGTTTCCCCCTTCTTAATCCTATCACCCTTCCAACCTCCAGTGGTAACTTCTATCCTGATTTGTGTTTATCATGTTTTTGTTTTTCTTTGTATTTTTACTACATAAATATGTAAACGTAAACACAATGGCATTTAGCTTTGCATGTTTTTGAGTTTATAGAAAAGTTTTTGTAATACATATTAACTTATACAAGTTCCTTTTACAGTCAGTATTATATAAAATTTATCCCTTATCAATTTGAACCAAAAGGTATTTCAATTTTGTAAGTCAAAAATGAGTGAATATAAGCAAATTTATATGGTTCAGTTATATATATAATATAATATAATATATATATGTATATTTTTGAACATTTTTATTGCTATATTGCCCACTGTGTATGCCACAATTTATCCTTTATCCTGCTGATGGACATTCAGTTTCTTCAGTATTTTGCTATTAGAAACAATGTAGCTATGAATATTCTTGTGTATGTCCTCATACCTAGTTTTGGAACTGTGATGTCATAAGGCAGTGATCAGCAAACTCATTAGTCAACAGAGCCAAATATCAACAGTATGATTGAAATTTCTTTTGAAAGACAAATTTTTTAAACTTAACCTTCTTCTAATGCTACTTCTTCAAAATAGACTCGCCTAGACTGTGATATTTTGTGGAAGAGCCACACTCAAGGGGCCAAAGAGCCACATGTGGCTCATGAACTGCAGTTTGCCCACCACGGTCATAGGGTATATGGATCTTCCCTTTCCTAAATATTGCCAAATTATCCTTCAAAGTGGTTGTACCCATTCCTGTACATTATTTATAACATTGGTAAAAAAATTTTAATACAGTCTAATCTAGTGACTGTGAAGTGAAAGTTGATTGCTGTAATGACATATGTTTTGTCATGTTTTTATGTGTTCTGCTACACTCGTAGGGGTGTCGAACTCAATCAGAGAAGGGGCCAAAATCTAAAATCCAGCCTAAATCGCGGGCCGAATGGTTTACTGAACAGTCATAAACTGTCATTGTGATGGAAACGCAGCGGAGTGCAGTGATGACAGCGCGGTGCGGGCCACATTGCAAGGCCTGGCGGGATGGATTTGGCCCGCGGGCCTTGTGTTTGACACATGTGTCAGAGTTGTTGTTTTTTTCTGTGAAATTCCTGTTCATGTATTTGCCATTTTTGTGTCTTATTTGCATTATTGGATCTCTACAAATATATAATATAATTTGAATTCTAACCTTTGTCTATTATATATGTTAAATTTTTCTCTGATACTCTGGTTTATTTTTTCACCTCTTAACATTGTGTTCTTAAATGAAACAAAGATTTTGTTGTTGTTTTTAATATAGCTAAGATTGTTCATCCTTGCCTGTTTGTATTGTGTTTTATTTCTCTAACTTAAAAAATAACTCTTAAAAGTAATAATCTTTAAAGTTCACCTGAAATTGATATTGTGCATATTAAATTGGAAATCTCAATTCATTTTAATCCAAATGGAATATCAATGTCCCAAAGATAATTGATGTTATCAATTATATCAATTGCACATCAGTTGGACAAATGAATAGTTCATCATTTTCCCCATTGACTTTCATTGCCACCTCTGCCAAATATCAAGTTCTATATATTCATTAATATTTCTGAGACTACTAATCTTTCCCACTGGTTTATATGTCTATATCTATGTTAATGCCATACTATTTTAATAACTATAGCATTATTTTCATATATGGTAAGACAAGTGTGCCTCACTTCCTCAGAAACCTTGTTTTGTTTTTTGTTTTGCCTTTTCTTCTTTCACATAAATTTAAAAATCAATTTTCAGGTTCCACCAAAAAACTGTGCTGGAAATGTATTGGAATTCTTACATATCAATTTGGGGACAATAAAAATATAATTCTTAACTAAGATAGTACTAGGCAATTTTTGAACAATGATGATACATTTAGATAGCCCTTAAATCATGCCTTTCTCTCATTCCATGTGGGTTTTTTTGTTGTTGTTATTGTTAGTCCTCACCTGAGGATATTTTTCTTTTCTTTTTTTTTTAATTAAATTATTATCTGTGTACTTTTCCATTTATTTTTAGGGAAAGTGGAATGGGAGGGGTGTAGGCAAAGAGAGAGAAACATCAATGTGAGAGAAACACATCAATTGGTTGCCTCCTGCACATGCCTCAACCAGGGCCAGTTATCAAGCCTGCAACCAAGGTAGATGCCCTTGACGAGTATCAAATCTGGGATCCCTCAATCTGCAGGCCAGTGCTCTATTCACTGAGTCTAACTGGCTAGGGCCCTCATTCCATGTTTTGATTAGAGCCTCATATAGCTAGTCTCATCACTTTAAGTAGCATCCCCATTCTTCATCTAATTCTACCCATTATTTCACAATTACCCATCCTATGTCTTTGCTAAGGGACAGTAATTAATCTTAAGAACTAATCTAGATAAATCTATTTAACAATGAAACTCTGTAGCTGTAACATTACTCCAAGGGGAAAAAAATCTAATTGTGCAGATTTAAAGAATAGAATTGGCATATACAGGGTGTCCCCAAAAAATGTATACCCACATTTAACCCATTATTAATTCCAATGGGTTAAATCTGAAAAGAAAGAAACCTCAATTGTGCTATCAGCTGTTAAAGTGGGTATATATTTTTGGGACATCCTGTATTGGGCAAAATTAATTTTTAGTTCATCTGAAAACAGTGAAAGCAGGCAATATAATATGATGACTAGGAGTTATAGCTCTGGAGTCAAAATAATGAAGTTTATATTCAATAATTCTCTTTTATTTTGACTTCAATGTATTTAACATCTTTAAACCTGTTATTTCATCTATAAAATGGAAATGGCAAAAATAACAATTTTTATGCATCCTAGGAATGATGTGAGGCAAATGCAAAGCAATTAGTAGATGCTCAATAGTAGCTATTATTATTATTATTATTATTATTATTATTATGAAAAAATAATGAATTGATACTTGTCGTTTATGAAGTTAAAAACAATAATTTTCTCCCTAAAAGGTATATAATCTATTTCCAATTACAATAGAAATAAAGCTTTTAGACAGTTAAATAAATATTCCTAGGTCTTTATGATATATAGCTTGATGTTAGATTATTATTACACTATAATTGTTTATATTTTCAGGAAGCCAGTAGGAAGTAAATGAGTAGATAGAACATGGTTATTTTACTTAGATATAATAAAAAATATGTTATGAAGTAGTCTCTTTTTTCTAAGGTGGTTGTATATATTAAAAGATAAATAACATGCTTATGTTGCTCTCAGCTTCTTTTAGTTGATACATTATGTATTCACTAGAGGCCCGTTGCACAATGTTCATGCAAGAATAGGCCTTCCTTTCTTCACTCCCAGCTGCCCGGGAGCCAGCAAGTCATCGCTTCTGTCTGGGGCACCATTCTAGTAGCTCCCTCCGCTACCCTCCTTCCCCTCATAGCAGGCTTCACTTCACTCTCTGCCTGTATATGCAAATTATCCTCCATATTTGTTGGGTTAACTTGCATAATCACTCTGGCTGTGGGCATAGTGGAGTGATGGTTATTTTGCATATTTCTCCTTTATTAGGTAAGATATGTGAGTTAGGTGGAGCTGGAAATGGTGTGGCAGGTGTGAGTAATAATGTTTACCTAAGGTTGTAAAGAACAAGGAAGCAAAATCCCAAACATAGTTGTAATGCCCATGCCTACCAATCTCATAGCTATATATAGGATCATTACGTTTAGGGAGTAGGAAATGTTAATTCAAGATGCAGAAACTGGCTGTCTAAACTTAACTAAATCTGAATCTTTCTGGGTCTCAATATTATCACTGTAAAATGAGTTAGTAAAATAATCACTAAAGACCCCTCTAACTATACATTCGTATGATTCTCTACTCTTCTAGAGATCTCAATAGAGATCACATATTCAAAGATAAGGAAAAATATATACTTATGATCCCATGCTCTAGTATGTGGCCAGTGAGAAAATTTTAAAAATCTAAGAAAAAAATTCTAGTTGCCAGCAAACCCCAAGAAAAAGAAGTGGAGGTACTTCAGTGTGGAGGTGGGGGGATTACATTTTATGTTTCACAAAGAGCATTAGGTTTAGTTCTTATCTTTTAAAGCTGCCCCAGAAGGAAGAGCAAAGGGCAGACTGGATGAAAGGAGGTGAAGGGATTAGCTAAAGAACATTTATGCATAACCCATTGACAGAGAGGACTGTGTAGAGGAAAAGGGGGTGGGGTGGGGACTGGGTGTAGAAGAGTAAAGGATGGGGGGAAATGAGGATACCTGTAATAGTATCAACAATAAAAAATAAAGATAATACAGACATAGAAACACAGACCAATATAAAATATTCATAGAAATTGTTCAGGAAAGTTTCAAGGAACTGTAAAGCCCAAGTGATCTGAGTCTTATAAATGCCACTTAAAGAATAGGAAAAGAAATTTCAGACTATGATCAAAGTTATGATGTTGAAAAAAAATGAATGTTCCACATCTTAGGGAAAATGTTGCATCTATAATAACATACAGGGATTGACAAAAGTAGGTTCACAGTTGTTTGTACGAAAAAGGCATGCAGGTTATGATTGTTACAATGGCTTTATGAACTCTGTTATATGTACTTACAACTATAAATGTACTTTTGCTTGTCCTTGTAGTATAATATAATAACATTTAAATAAGCATGTGGTCATATTTATATAGCACTTATCATTCCAAAAATGCATTAACAGTTTATGTTGTTTAATAACCTAATACAGAGAAGATAATGGATCTAAACTTCCATATTTTTTTGTTTTTATTCATCATGAAACATGGTCTTTGAGTTGGGAAGAGATTAACAAACAATGTTAAAAGATGAGAGGCCTAAAATAAACAAAGAAATCAACAGATGGTCTATGAACACATCAAAGTATATTAATTTTCAAGATTAGAATCATAAAACTTCATAGGTCTAAACCAATTTAGGGCTCTTATGGTTGATTATGGAGTGAAAATTATTTAAGCACAAGAAAGGTAAACAAAGACCAGAGATAGACACCTTAATTTTCAAAAAGATAAAAGATGAATTTTCATGCACATGCTTACCAGAAAATTTCTATAGCAAATAATTAAATATCCAAATTGTAAGTACAGGTATACCTGTTCCAGACTACCACAATAAAGCAAATAATACAATAAAGTGAATATTGCAATAAAGTGAGTCAAATGAATTTTTTTCCCAGTTCATATAGGCTTTATGTTTATACTATACTGTAGTCTATTAAGTGTGCAATGGAATTATATCTAAAAACAATGTATATACCTTAATTTAAAATACTTCGCTGCTAAAAAGCATCCCAGGCAAAGAGAATAAATGTACAAAGGTTTAGAGGCAGGAACAATTTTGGTATGTGTGAGGAAGAGAAAGGAGGCCTCTCTGGCAAAATGAGCAAGAAGACATTGGCGAGATGGGCAGGCACTGGTTATACAGAACTTTATAGACCATTACAAGGACTCTGGATTTTACGTTCAGAGCCATGCTAAATCACTGAAGAGTTACTTATAAAACATGTACCATACTATTGTAAGATAATCATAATAGGAGTATGAGAACGCTTTATATGATCTGCTCCATTTTTTTGAAAAAAAAATAAAACTGTTCTAAAAAATGAAGATTGCTAATAATAATTTAAAAAATGAACTTGGGGGGGTTCTTAAAAAATACTTTATTGCTAACCATCATCTGAGCCTTTAGTGATTAGAAATTGTTTTGCAGGTGGAGGGTCTCTCTTCAATGTTCATGGCTGCTGACTGCTCAGGGTGGTGGCTGCTGAAGGTTGGGGTGTCTGTGGCAATTTTTCAAAATAAGACAATGAAGCTTGCAGCATGGATTGACTCTTCCTCTCATAAACAATTTCTCTGTAGCATGCGATGCTGTTTGATGGCATTTTACGCACAGTAGAACTTCCTTCAAAAGTGGAGCCAATCCTCCCAAACCCTGCTGCTGCTTTATCAACTAAGTTAATGCAATATTCAACTGTATATATCATGTTGTCATTTCAACAACCTTCACCTCATATTCAGCGGGTGTAGATTCCATCTCAAGAAACATCTTTATTTGTTTATTCATAAGAAGCAACTCCTCATCTGTTAAATTTTACCAGGAGATTGCAGCAATTCAGTCAGTCTTTAGGATTCATTTCTAATTCTAGTTCTCTTGATATTTCTACCACATCTGCAGTTACTCCCTCCACTGAAGTCTTGAACTCCTCAAAATAATCAGTAATAACTAGTGTCAATTCCTGTTAATGTTGATATATATTTTTAATGTTGATATTTTGACTTCCTCATGAATGACAAATGTTCTTAATGGTATTTAGAATGGTGAATCTTTTCCAGAAGGTTTTCTATTGACTTTGCTCAGAGCCATCAGAGATACCACTACCAACCAATGACACCTATAGTCTTACAATGTGTATTATTTCTTAAATAATATTAGTCAGATTAATACGCTCCAAATCTTTGTGGTCAAATAGAATCATTTATATGAATAAAAGGACTTTTAGAATCCTATTGCTAAAATGATAATCTCATTTTTTGGAAAGAGAAACCAAGATGGCGGCATAGGTAAATGCCTAACTGCAGCCTCACACAACAATTTCAAAAAATACAACTAAAATACAAAATGTACATTATCCAGAACTACAGGAAAGTTGACTGACTGGAAATTCTACAACTAGAAGGAAAGAGAAAACCAGAAGGAAAATCAAAGGATCTGTAAAAGCCTAAGGTACAGAGACATTGTGCATGTGTGGGGAGAGGACTGAGCTGGAGAGGAGGGGGTGGCTGAGTGCCTGGCTGGCGTTCCCTAGCTGGAAGGAGATAAAAGCTCTCAACATGCAGGCCAGACGGAAATGGCAAGAAATATTCAAGGTGATGAATAGTAAGAACCTACAGCCAAAAATACTCTACCCAGCAATGCTATCACTCAGAATCGAAGGCCAAATAAAGAGCTTCACTAATAAAAAAAAGCCAAAGGAGTTCATCACCGCCAAACCAGAATTATATGAATTGCTGAAGAGGTTCTTTAGGAAGAGGAAGAAGATAAAGATAAAAATTATGAACAACAAATACGTAACTATCAACAAGTGAATCTAAAAACCAAGGGAATTAAAAAGTCTGATGAACAATATTAACTGGTGAATATAATAGAATCAGAGGTATGGAAGAGGAGTGAACTGATGATTCTCAGGGAAAAGGGGAATGGAGGTGTGGGAAGAGACTGAACATAAACTGTGCAGCTATGGATGAGGACAATAGGAGGATGAAGAAAGGACAGAGGGTAGGGTGGGAACCTGGTGGAGAGGAGCAATTGAGGGGGAAAAATAAGAAATGTTTGTAATAATATGAACAATAAAGATTTATTTAAAAATTTAAAAAATAAAAATAAATAAAATGATCATCTCACTCCCAATAAAAGAGCATTAGCTAAGTCAGACATCCTACTGGACAAAAACACTAATAAATTTAACTGTATATCTTTTGCAAGCTACTATATTATGATACTCTTATCTGTAATCAAAGATTTTTTGATATTTGCTTTTAAGGTTTACCTTCTCAGATAATTTTAAATTCAAATTGTCTTACCTCAGCTTCCATAAGTTTTGTAAAATTTGACTGTGCTCCTATATAATATGAAATGCCCTTTGATGCACCCTCCAGAGTTGCACCTCGTAATAGCAGAATGAGTAGGACAACATATGGGAAAAGAGCTGTAAAATATACCACCTATCAAGAAAAACAATAGAAAGTTAATGTCTTTTTTTTAAAAAATCACAGTATATAATTGTATAGAAATAAAGTCATTAGAAAGTGAAGCTTAGCAAAATAAGTATCAAAAATTTCATAAGGTTATTAATAAGTCTGATGATACCAATAGCAAAGTTGGAATAATTTCCTTTTCCTGTTCTCACCATTCTCAAATGGTCCATTTTTCAAACACTCTAATATATGAAACAGTATTTCCTAGGTTCTTGTTGGAAATACACAATATATCAGCAGTGATAAGTTGGAATCCAAATGGAGTGCTTTCCTAAACATCCTATATAATAAAAAATGCAATATGCAAATTGACCATCATACCCTCACACAATTTGGCCACTCGCATGGGGTCAAAGATGGCTACCCCCATGTGGTCACAAGATGGCTGACACAAGATGGCTGGCAGGGAAGGGCAGTTGTGGGTGATCAGGCCAGTAGAGGAGGGCAGTTCAGGGTGACTGGGCTGGCAGGGGAGAGCAGTTGGGAGCAACCAGGCTGGCAGGGGAGGGCAGTTAGGGTTGACCAGGCCTGCAGGGGAGGAGGGCAGTTGGGAGTGACCAGGCTTGCAGGGGAAGGCAGTTTGGGGGGCCAGGCTTGCAGGGGAAGGCAGTTGGGGGCAATTAGGCCAGCAGAGGAACAGTTAGGCATCAATCAAGCTGGCAGTGGAGTGGTTAGAGGGTGATCAGGCTGGCAAGCAGATGCAGTTAGGGGCAATCAGAAAGGCAGGCAGGTGAGCAGTTGGGAGCCAGCAGTCCTGGATTGTGAGAGGGATGTCCTAAACCATCCCCTGAGGGGTCCCAGACTGGAGAAGGTGCAGGCTGGGCTGAGGGACACCTACCCCCCAGGGCACAAATTTCATGCACCAGGCTCTAGTATTCTTATAAATGTCTGAATGGCACCTCTTGGTAAATTTTTGTACTGAAATGGGGAGGGAAATTATTTAAAACCCTGCAATGTTTAGTATATACTCATTCCACAAAGAGAAGGAAAATATCTTTCCTAGTCAATGTTCAAATCCCATTAAAGCTGATTAAAATGACCTCGATGGCGCTGCTCAGTAATTTAGCATGGACCTATGAACCAGAAGGTCATGGTTCAATTCCCTGTCAGAGTGCATGCCTGGATTTCAGGCTGGATCCCCAGTAGCGGGCATGAAGGAAGCAGCCAATTGATGGATGATTCTCTCTCATCATTGATGTTTCAGTCTCTCTCTCCTGCTCCCTTCCTCTCTGAAATAAATACAAATATATTTTTGGAAGTTGATTAAACTGAATACAAGACACTTTTGTCATTATTATCCTTAAAACTACCATTAAGACAGTTTGATAGCACACACTGCTTGTATCCTAGATAACACATGATTCCAGATAAGCAGGTTGCCTTTGAGGCTGGCTTTTCATTAACATGGACATTCTATGTTTAATAATATGCCCAAAGTCATCCAGAGACTAATAAAAATGAATGTATTGGTAAATGCCCTTTAATGGATTCTTTCCATATTAACATAAAAAAAGGAACCAATGATTTCAAAAGTGTGTAATTAGAATATTAGTTTGTAAAGTTTCCACTGACTTTGTGATATTCACAATATTTTTGTTATCTAACAGATTGTCTCATCACAATTTAACATTAACTGAATGTGCTAGATATTGTACCAGGAATGCAAAAATAGTATCCAGTTATTCTTCTCCATTTTAAAGGAAATTTCTTTGTAGTAATTACAAACACATAAACATCTATTTTTATGGATGCTATACAACTTCTCACAGAGAAATTTCACATTGTTCTCTGAAATTGCCATGATGCTTTCGGAAAGTTTAAAAAATAAAACAATGAAGGGGAAAATATAATGTTTTTCATAAAAGGATTCTTTGCTGAGAGAGAGAGAGAATTCTGAGTCAATTTTAGCAAATATAAGAGAATAATTATAGTTGTTTTTTTATTTCCTCTAATTAGGGGAATCCTGACATAATTACCCTATAGAACAAGGATCTAGATCTTTGAAACTAAACATTTCAATATATGACATGCTTATATACTCAAGATGAATATTTACATAATAGAACAGAAAATTTAAAAATATACTTGCAATTTTCAAAATACTATATCAGTTAGAAGGGTCCAAGTTTTGAGTAACTACACAACACTAGTATTAGTTTGTGCTTGGTTTGTTTTATTTTTAATAATAGTAGTGATCTTATGCATTTTTTAGAACTAGGCTGCCTACTTTGAAAGCTTTTCACACATTATAAAAAAGACATGCATTTGATAATGCTCATCAATGAACTAGGATGATATTGGAAAACAGCTCCATCACTAATACATTTTCCAAATTACCTTTCCAGAAGACTTGATTCCTTTAAGTAGTGCTGCACCAACTATGAGCCAAGCCAGAAGAAGACAAAGTGCTAAATACCACACAATTTCTCCAGTCTCATCCATTCCACTTGAGCGTCGGAGTGCCACTTTGCTGAAAACACATGAGCCCTTTTATAAACACAGAATCACTTGTCTTAATACATTAACTTTTGTTATATATTTTATCCAGTGGGAAGCTTCATGAGTATTTTATTAACACATCAATATCATGTGAACCTTTTATTGACATTGCAGGGACAAAAATAGTTCAACGAAAATCCAGGCTTTGACTTAGGCTTATTAGTAAGTGCAACCAATCCAAAGTTCCAAACCCCAGAATTAAATAAAGATTTACTGATTCCTTTAGCTATGATTTTGCCCTAATATTACAAAACTCCTTTTATGCAAAAAAATTAACCTTACATTAGATTGTATCATTTTATTTATTATAATATTTGTCTCAAGTTAAAATAATAAATATATAATTTAAAAATTGCATTAAATGTTATCTTATTCATTGTACTGTATATTTATCAGCAAATCTAAATGGTTCCACTATTTATAATTTTTTCAAAGGCTATCTAACAAATTCTATGATTTCCAGTTGGAACATACATGGATCTAGGATTTTAATTCTTAGCTTAGTCTTCGGGAACATTTTAAGATCCAAATTTTAAAAAGGTCACAAAAGAGTATTAACATATAGATGAGGAAAAATGCATAACAGCAATAGTCAAAAAAGTTAGGTCAGGGTAAAGGGTAGATGTATAGTAAAGGAAATAAAAAGAGAACATTTCAAATTAATAAAAGTAAATATAACTCAAAATATATTTTTCTATCACATAGTGACCATTATAAGCAAAATGGATAATAAAGAATTGCAGCCTAAAATAGAAATTTTATCCACAAATTACTTATCACACAACTGTTTATCATTAAAACTTGCTAATTACTATGGATGAGGATGGGGGGGGGGAGAAAGGGCAGAGGGTAGGGTGGGGACTGGGTGGAAAGGAGCTATGGAGTGGGGGGAGAAACAATTCTAATAATCCAAACAATAAAGATTTATTAAATTTAAAAAAATAAAAAACTTGCTAATTATAGTCTAAAATATGAATATTTTTTCTTCAAAACAACACCCTAATCTATAGTTAATAGTGCTAAATAAATCATTACTGACAATATGTTGCCCATTTACGTAATTTATAAACGATAATTTGTAAACTATGAGCTAAATTTGCTGGTTACTACTGCTCACACTGGATAGGTAAATATATGAATCAAATGGAGTAAAATTTGTTCTGCTTCCCTTTTTTTTCTACTTACATGAGTTAAGAAAAGAGCTGATTAATATTTCATTGTTATTTATAAAAAATTTTAGTAACATATGTGTAAGAAGTGGATCATCTACGGTACTTACTTCCAATATTGTTCACTGGGAAGCTGCCCTGGCTGATAAACTTCAGTTCCATTAATGCAGGTAAAATTGTTGAAGTCTACCCAGCTTTTATTCACATGGATGAATGTTCCTAGTTGTGTACTCACATCGCAGTGAGTTACTAAAAATTATTAAAAAAAATAGAATGTACACACAAACACGTACTTAGTTTTAAAATAGTGTTTTCCTAGAAAACAAGTTTTAAGGTAAAATATTTAAATACAGTCTAAGTTGTTACTTGGTGAACATAGTTTAAAAATCATCCAAATGGAATAAGACATGCACATTCTGCATCTTAAATCTTCTCTACTACTAAGCTAGGAGTAAGTATGAAAATATTTGCCCTTTTAAACTAAGATTATCTTTATAGTCATAAAAGCTATAAAGTTAACAATAATTTCAGTTTGGATTTAGTGCTCTAAGGGACTTTTAGTCTGTGGATTTATTTAACCTATATAGAAAAGTACACCTTTAAGTTCTTAAGTAGTAATAGTATTGTCTTTACCATTTTATCCTCTGATATACAAAGGCCATCTCAGTGGTAATAGTCTACAATATTAATGCTACTTTATTCCAAAGATTAGCAATATGACATGGGCAATACTGACTGTCTCTTGAAACATACTACAATGACCATGGATAGTGCTTTTCTCTCTTCATCACTTTCCCATTACCTTTTTTCTCTCCTGCCCATGGCTAAGGCCTGCAAGAACTCTTCTAGTAGCCATCTAGACTTACTACTGACTATCCTCAGATATTAACATTGCATTCAGGTAAATAATTTTATGCACAGTTATACATATAATGTATTATGTAATATTAATATACATGTGTACAATTTTAAGGTTATACATTTTTATTCCGTTTTTAATCAGTAACCTAAGGCTCACTTAAAACTTCTCCTAAATTGGTTAGAAAGTAATTTAACCCTTTAAGCTTCTTAGAAAATATAAAAGAATAAAGCAGAGTTAACAATATTTTTTTTAAATGAACAAATGAATTTTACCGATAGGTGATCTGCTACAGTATTGATCTGCCCAATAAGAACAATTTTTCCATGGTAATTCACTTTGAAAAGAAGCAAACATGTAGTAAAGACTATAGGCAATTATGACATTGTAATAGATGGTCACAAAAATGGATATCAGGACCATTGTAATTCCCACACCTGAAAAAGAGAACAATTAAAATAAAATAAAAACATCAACAAATGAAGTTTCTTTTGCTAGTTCATAAAAAACTGCATCTCAATTTCCACAAAATCTATTTCAAAATGAGAAGACTATCTCAAATAACTTTTTCTTTTTGGGTGGGTAGGGAGGCAGTACTATTGTCTGAATAGTTTTCTTCTCAAATATCAAATTATTTTGATGATTGGCTTTCTGAGAGTTTTTTATTTGGTTAGAAAAAAGTTCTAAGATCAAGGGCAGAAGACTGTACTAATCCATTAAACTCACAGAAGGAAAAAAATCTATGTCCACTATTTTTATGAAGTCTATAAAGTCTAGTAAGAGAGGGTACTATTCTTAAAAATAAAAAAGAAAGAAAAGAAGAACTATTCGAAGCTCAAATTCTATTGACTCACTGGCCAATACTTACATCTTCATCCATAAACCAACATTTTGACAAGTAAAAGATAAAGCCTATGAGTTAATTTCTACAGTACATGTAAAGAAAATTCAATGACTCAGGAACAATCTGAATTTAAACTTCTGAAGTTTTTTTTTTTTTAATTCCAGCAATATATACTGTTCACATAACTATAAATTTATTTTTGATGTAGCATTGAGGCTTTTATAAATAGTTTTCAGCTGCTAGCACATATCAAAATAACAATCAAGGCATTAAAAAAAATAAATCTTCACCAGCCCTAGCTGGTTTGGCTCAGTGGATAAAGTGTCAGATTGTGGACAGAAGGGTCCCAGGTTTGATTCCAGCCAAGGGCACATGCCTGGGTTGAGAGTTTGATCCCCCCCCCCCCAGTAGGGGGCATGCAGGAGTCATCCAATCAATGATTCTTTCTCACTGAGGTTTCTATCTCTCTCTCCCTCTCCCTTCCTCTCTGAAAACAAGAAAAAAGTATTTTTTAAAAACTTTACCAGTGTTTTATTCTATTAAAAGCACACACACAAAAATTGTGACCTGTCTTTCAACTTTTCTGAGTGAGGCATTGTAAAAGATATGCAAAAGCAAGAAGGCAAAGAACCACCTGAAGTAGAAAAATGCCAGAGCCACAAAATGAATGCACAGTAGGACCATGTGCCAAGAGAATTAAAAATGTTAAAATTACGAAAAGAATGACACCCTTGCAACCCTCTCTAATCCTTCCTTACCATTCATATGTGCAGCTTGAAACAAACAGAAATAAAAATTAACATTTGATTTTTAAATTCTACAGTGGCAAATATGCAGGAAAAAAAATGTATGGGTCTTTGTCTTTAACTGTCCAAATTTTAAACAGTTTTATTTCTCATAGTGAGGACAGCAATATGCATGAATAGACCAACAAGTATAATAGGAAACACATTTTAATACCAACCTTGAAACAATGGAAGAATATTCCAAACTGAAACTGGACCTAAGCTAGCAAATTGTCCCAGTGAACACTCTAGGAAGAACAATGGTAAACCAGCCAATGCTAGCATAATTGCATAAGGTATCAAGAAGGCACCTAGAAAATGCAAAAAAGAAACCACTATTATATCCCAAAATTTTGATGGCACTTAATAACTAGCATAACATTTTGGAAGCAATATGATATAGTAGAGTCAGATTTCTGGGCTTAGGCCCCGAATGTACTACTTTCTGGGTGAAAAATCCTTGATTCTTTAGTCTAAACCTTGCATTCCTAATCTATGAATGAGGATGGTAGTATAGTAAGTTCTCACTTAACATCCTCGATAGGTTCTGACTTAAGTGAAATGACATTTAAAAAACCAATTTTAATAAAATGAATTAGTAGAACCAGGAGGTAAATTCCTAGAGCAACTCATCAATGTTATAACAAACCTACATTGAGTGAGTGAAACGACATTATTTGAGGACTGGCTGTATAATGTCATGAAGTAGTTGTATTTATTAAAAACAATAGCACATAAGAAGCAATCTGAGGTGCTGAATGATCATATGGTAGAGCCAGACTGAACCAGGTGTATTTCCTGGTTCCACTAGTTATTTGGCCTGGGGCATTGGTCAGCAAACTCCTTAGTCAACAGAGCCAATTATCAACAGTACAATGATTGAAATTTCTTTTGAGAGCCAAATTTTCTAAACTTAAACTATTTAAGTAGGTACATTAGAGTACTAGAAAGCTGGCCTTTGCTAAAAATTCAAGGGGCCAGGCCCGGAGCAGCCAGGCCCGGAGTGTTGTGGGGTCGAACCCTGGGTTCAAAATGAAAGGAAAGAAGGATTAATGCAGCCAATTCTGGTACCAGAGTGTTATGTCCGTCATCACAATGGACTCAGAGAGGCTCCTGTGTCCCTTCACCCAAAAAACAACAGCAAAGTGGGAGAAGAAAACTGAAGGCTATGCAAGGGACTGAGGTGACATGGAGTCATCTGAAGAAATTAAAGACTGAAGTGGGAGCTACTTCTTTAATCATGTTCCTGCTCATGCTAGCATCTTTTAGCTTCCAGTCTTCTGCAAAGTCTTGTGCAGCAAGTCCAAGGACTTTGAGTAAATCTATACCAGCAACAAAAGAGACTCATTTAGTAGCTAAAAATATTAATATGTCCATAATTCTGATTTCTCATTTTGTTGTTTTACATTGGCATTGTTGTTATTATTTAATAGCCAGAGTTTTGCTCTTGACATTCAAGTTTTGAAAATAACATATATGTGGTTTAGTTTTTGCATTGGCATTGTTTGCAATTGTTTTTAATTTTAGAGCCCTATTATTGATGTTTAAATTTTATTTTAATTAGTAAAAAAGGGTGAGATGTAGAGAGCCACCTGAGAAGGCACATGGACATTCTTTTAATTCTTATCAGCTGAGCCCGAGGGCACTGGCAGAATCCTCTTATCAGTACTGATTTCTTAATACATGTGCTTGGAATGAGGAACAAATAAGATCTTGACTCACCCGGGTCTCCATATGCTAAATCTTGTACCAAAAAATAAGGAGCTTACCCAGATTTTGATGAATAGGATCTGGGCACACCCGAAAGTCCTTTTGACCTTAAACTCCCCTTTGGAAGCCAATTTAAAAAATAATAACAACAAAAAAAAAAAAAAAAAAAAACCCCAGGAAATTAAAAAACCTGATGAACAATATTAACTGTTGAATATAATAGAATCAGAGGTATGGAAGGGAGGTGGACTGATGATTCTCAGGGAAAAACGGAGTGGGAGGTGCAGGAAGAGACTGAACATAAACTGTGCACCTAAGTATGAGGACAATGGGGAGTGGGGAAAGGGCAGAAGGTGGGGTGGGAACCTGGTGGAGGGGAAAAAATGTGGAACTTTTGTAATAATATGAACAATAAAAGTTTATTTAAAAAAAACAAATAGAATTACTTTAAAGACACATTTTGGAAAAAAACTAATATTCTTAACTCTTTCTCCTATTTTAATACTTACATGCCACCTCTCAATCATCTACTTGCATGCATATTTTGCAAATATAACATAAATAACATTTAATATTGATATTTTATTGTTCAAAATCCTATATGTATTTCTACATTACAATTATAGTCATTTTGAAGTGATTAATAAAGTCACTTTGTATTAATAGAAAAAAAAATTCAAGGGGCCAAAGAGCCACATGTGGCTCGAGAGCCACAGTTTGCCAACCACTGGCCTAGGGCAATTTACCTAACAACTCATCAGTGTATGGTAAGGGTTTAATTACAGAGACTATAAGAAAACACTTGGCAAAATGGCAGGCACATAGCATATGTTCCAAGTTAGTTTCTGTACTTTTTCCTTTAAAAATAAATTATCTATTTTTTAAGACATAGGGTGCAAATATTAAATGTGATTCAGAGTAGAAGTCATTGAAGTTGAGGTCATTATTCTTCAGTTATAATTCATTCAATTTAATAAGAAATTCATTGTTTTGTTAGAAGAGCCTGAACTTTTGAGATTCATTTAGAATTAACTTTCAATTTTATGAGGACTAATTATCTTACATTTAGATTATCCAGGCCCCTTTTGATTTTTTTAAACACCCTTTATTATTTTACTTTGTTTCTGCCTACTTTTGGGACATAATATTGTTCATTAGAAGATTTACCACATTGTGGGTAGAACAGGGACATAACACTAAACTCATTGATCAAGTATTCTAGAAATCTGAATAAAATTTAATAAGAAAATGTGAGAATTGGTGAATAAAAATAGGCTTTTGGATCATGTACATTTTATTTACCATGTTACATTTTTTCGCATATATTATATTATGATACTGTAACATCATATCTGGGAATTACATTTTTGCAACCTTCAAAATATATTTTACTAAAAATAATGAGTCAATAAACTACTTGTTATTTATAAGTCACTAGTCACTAGAACATATGGACAAATATGTTTTTACATATGTTGCAATAAACATACCGGCATTATTATGACTATTAGTTTAAATCCTGCCAATGATATTTATGAAGAAAACGTAAAACAAAAGTGTCCCTGTTTAAATACAGCAGTAATCAAAGCCTTACTAGCCCAGTGTAAATAGTTTTTTTAGAAGGAGAAAAGGGATTATTTTCCTCAGTGTTATATATGGCTTTTCACCCATTATATTTTTCATTATTAATATCCATATAGGTAAATTAATACAGTACAGTAATGACACATTGGTAACACTGCTGGCCTAGACCCTAAGGTAGTATAATACTTCTCTTTCATAAACTGTTCAAAACAATTTATAGATAAAAATGATTCCAGATTTTAGCATATTTTTAATTCAACTGACCATATTTTTTAAATTGGTTTTATTAACATTTGAAAAATTTGAATTTTATGTTCATCTTCTACCCCTGGGCAAAAAGAGAACAGAGCAATTCAGAGAGTCTAGATCATCTATTATCCCAATGATGTGATCTTTAAAAACTGAGAGCCCATATAATGTATTAATTCTCAGAGGAAATGATGAGATAATGGTATACATTAAATGATACTATTTTATTTTGGTTACATTTAAAAATACTCTATTAAACCTACTTTCATATAGTTCCTAAAAATTAATTGCAACTATTTGGTCTATATATGATGTCAAATCACAGGGAAATTCATATTCTAAAACTGAATACAAGAGGCTAGAAAGGAGCTTGAATGTTTCTCTTCACTACACTGGGCCTTAGGACACAGACACCAAAAAGATTGTGATTTCTGATCCATTTTCCATCTCAAACATATACAAAACCCATGACTAAATGACATAGGCTCTATCTAGGGGAATTTTTTGCCACACCACACTTAAAGTTTTTAATATACAGAACTTTCTTAAGTCTCTGAAGGTCAGTGTGAATCTTTTAATATAACCAATTAACAAAGAATATAAGATTGAAATAGCACCACATGATATCCTATTGTACCAAGAAAAATAATTACAGTGGCATAGTTTCACTGGTATTCAGTTATGAAATATAAGGGCATGTCACCTCTATACTTCTAAAAGAACCTGTAATTACTAGTGAATAAAATATGTCATAAGTGACAAGTTATTTCAACATTATTAGAGAATTATGCAACTCATTTTGTATCCCTTTATGTGTTATCTGAGAAATATTTCTTTCTTGTTCTAATTGAGTCCTCTTAATGATTTCTGAGGTATAAACAGCATTATTTTGCAGAAATTAAACACTTATTCTTGAACTGAATTCTATTCCAATTTAAAGGGATCTTCTATATAATCAATTCAATTAGGGATACCTGTAACTGAATATTGTAGCTTAAAATACTAAATCTTTAATTATTTTTTAATCAACTGTTCCCACATCTAATTTTCCAGAATGCACACAATTTCCTTAAACTTCTTATTAGAACTAGAAATCACTGTATTTTGCTAATACTAACGTCTGAACAGATTATCACAGGAATTTATAAATTAAGAATAGTAATTCACAGTTGGAGATTACACAAAATCTCAAATCCAAAACACAGAAGTTGTAAATATACAACTTTTATCATGTTTATATGTGAGGATTTTGTGTAGCTACCTTTCTAATAAGCCAGCAATTTATAGTCTAGTAATAAATGCAGTATGATTATTTCCTATTCTTCCACTAACCCAACACATCATATACCTTTCCTCAGTTTTTAAAATATCCTTAGGGGCCTTACAGCACCCCCAGTTAAAGCTGGATGCGAATGAAGTGGGGCAAGGGGAAATACCTCCGCCATTGTTGTAGGTCAAATATGGGAATCTCCACACATTTCCCAATCCAACTGCATATCCAACCATGGATAGAAGATAATCTGATTTTTTGGACCAGTTGCCACGTTCCTGATTCTCATCATTTTCATCAATATGGAAATTCTCAGATGATGCTGTCACTTTCTGGCAAGGGAAAATATCAACAGTTTGTCTTTATACTATTAAAAATTCCACAGAAGTATAATCGAGGAGAGAGAGAGAGAGCTAGAGAGAGAGAGAGAGAGAGAGAGAGAGAGAGAGAGAGAGAGAGGGAGAGAGAGAGAGAGAGAGAGAGACTGAAAACTGTAGAGCCTGAGCTAAGGGGAATGCTATCCAAGATTAGAGAAATTTCTGCTAATGACTGCTTTTACTTTACATTTACCTCTTGAAGTGAAAAAGCTCTGTAGGCAGATATTTGTACTACTGCTTCAGGTGAGATCATCCAAATTTTGGTGGAAAGGTTACATATGGCACCCAGTATGAAGGGTAAATAAAGGTGGACAAATGAGTTTGCAAATGGAAAAGTCTTAAAGATGAGCTAGGTAAAATCAACATTCTTGAGATTGTAGAAGATTTTTGAGAAAGATAAGCTATAGCTTCCACTAAAAAAAGAAAAAGAAAAAGAAAAAGAAAAAGATAGAGAGGAGAGAGAGAGAGAGAGAGAGAGAGAGAGAGAGAGAGAGAGAGAGAGAGAGAGAGAGAGGAACACCTTTTCCCATAGGCTGATAGTTTTGGATGTTTGGCTAGGCGCAGTGGTCGGCAAACTCATTAGTCAACAGAGCCAAATATTAACAGTACAACAATTGAAATTTCTTTTGAGAGCCTAATTTTTTAAACTTAAAGTTATTCTAACACCACTTCTTCAAAATAGACTCGCCCAGGCCATGGTATTTTGTGGAAGAGCCACACTTAAGGGGCCAAAGAGCCACCAAACCACAGTTTGCAGACCACAGGGCTAGGGGAAGTTTAACTTAACCCCTGTCTTGGAGAGTAAAATCAGCGCTTTTCTGAAAGCCACAGGATAATATTCAGAGACAATTTCTCCTGTCCCACCAGGTGGAGCAGCTCTCTCTCCACTTCACAGGAGAGGAGTTATTTCCCAACCTGTTAGCTGCTCTGGGCTATGGAGGGTTCCTCAACTCAGATAAGAACAGTGTGTTTCCTCATTTTTCTCCAGCATATGGACACAGTCTGGAGAGAAACAGAAAACAGGGTGTTCTGGACACATTCAAGGCACAGGATGAGGTGCCCCTGTCTTCTGTCTACTGGAGTAAGATCTGTTTTATTTTCCCTCTACTCTCTGAAGACATCTCAGGCACACTGGATGGCAGTTGAACAAAAATGTGGAGAAGTAATAAGCACAGAAAAGCAAAAATTGAGACTTGCCTCCCTTTAAAATTTTCTTTCCCAGGCCCTCCACAACTCTGCAGCTCCCAGAGTCCTACCTCTTTCCCTCTGCACTTGAAGAAACTGGGGCACTTCAAGTTGTCCATTGTTCACTCACTCCCTCTGCTTGAGCTCCGTCTCGTCTCACAGTCCTGCTGAGCTGGACTGGTGGCAGGTGAACACTCCCCCGTTGTTACCTGTCAGAGTGAGCTACCTTGTCCAGGGGTGGGACCATTTATGAAGGGAAGCTCTCTCCTCCCCCATCCAGAGCAATCTGTCGTGTCAGTTACTGGAAGGGACCAACGTGGGATTTCCCCAGGTAAGCTGGCATGTAGCAATCCCCTGCCCAGCCCCAGGAAAAGGGCTGGGCTGTGAGAGAGCAGAGCAGACTGAGAGAAGACTGACAGCTTTTGACTCAGAGCCCAGCAGGTGCCTTCACAATCTCACCTGCTTTCCCAGGTTTCCAGCTTCCCCCTTGCTTCCTGGTTTACTCTAGTCTCTGTCCTGGGACCAAGTGCTGATCTCCTCTAGTCTTTGGGGCCCATTCTGTTCCCCAATATTTTTATGAATAGATCATACTGTTCAGGGCCCTGAGATTTCCCAAAGTTTTGCCCTCACTAGAAAGCACTTGATCCCCTGAGGCAAACGCTGCTTCCAGAAGAAAAGTTCCTGAGTTAGGACCCTTGAAAAGCAGCCAATTTAGATACTATTACTCAGCTGGCTCTGCCTGAAAAGAGCAAATTTGAGCCTATGTCTCAGGCACCTTTCTCAGCCTTCAAGAGGCACTGCCCTTTACAGGGATTGCTTTGTATAGTACTTCAAAGACGTCAAACAAAAACAAATTATTGAGCAGGTTTATGGGAAATTCTAACCCTAACAAAGGACTCCACTTTGTAAGAAAAGTAAGGCCTAGAAAGTAAACTGTGAGGAAGCATCATAATTTGGTTGGGGAGGAAATAATTATTTTATGCTGTTTACCAGTGTACACCTTTTAATAAGAAAACTCATAAAATTTAAATGACATCTGCACAGGGAAAAGATCATGTCAGTTCTCTGAAACAGTACAAATCGGCCACACAGAGATACTAGCAGAGAGCCAGACTTCCTATGTGGAACGCCTTTGTTCTCTACTGTCTGCAATAGAAATATGCCCTGGGGAATCTGGGCAGGTAAGGCAGAGGAAAGTCTACGAGGGAAGTGGGAAGGTGGGAAGGAGAAAGAATCAAGATATTTCACCTAAATTTATCTTGAACATAGACAGGTTGTTGTTGTTGTTGTGTGTGTGTGTGTGTGTGTGTGTGTGTGTGTGTGTGTGTGTATGTATGTATGACTATTAGTATGAAATACTACTGATATGACCTAAAGGCTAAGATGAGGGAATTATAGCCTATCTTGAACATAGAAAAGAGGAGAGGAAGAGACTTATAAACCTCTTTATAAAAGGGTAACCTGAAAAGCAAATCTAGTAGCATTTACCAAACTATCAAAGTCCTATATCAAAATCTGTTTGCATGGGAATAGGAAGAGAATAGGAATCTTAAGGGTATATAAAGTATGGGGTTATCAAGGCAATGGTTTTGGCATGCACAGGAAACCACCAACTATTTTCCCTGCCTATTAGACAGTAGAAAAATTTCTAGCAACTATGAGAATTTAGAGCATCAAAGGCACAACATTTAAGGTCGATGTTATTTTAGAGAATGTGCTGTTGTCTACTTATTTGTTTTAGGGGATATTATTCCCATTGCCAGGCATGGCTTTTCATGACATGACTCTTTTATAACTTTTTAGTGTCATCTTGTGTCATTCTTTGCCTCAAACTCTTGAGCTCCTGTGTCCTTTCCTATGCATGCACATACATGTTTATTTCTGTGCCTTTGCTCATGCTATTTCTTCTTCTGGAAATTCCTGCCCTCCTCATTTGGCTAACAACTACTCATCCTTTAAGACTCCGCTTAGGTGTCACCTCCTTCAGGTCTTTCCATAGTGGTTGTACCTCTATTACTGCAGACTGGGTTTAGATGCCTCTCCTCTATAATCCTATGCTACCCAACACATATTGTACATTATGTAAGACTATTTGCTTATAGTCCTCTGGACTTCAAGTTCTCTCAGGGCTGCACAACTGTTCTTTATCATTCCTGTATTCCCAACACCTGGCACAAAACCTGACACAGAGCATGCACTCAGTAAATACTTATTAAAAATTTTTACTCAGAAGAGCCATTGGATTAATTTGTGCTCAAATAGAGAAAGGGCAACTGATCTAGAATGCATCTCCAAGAGATCATAACACACCAAAGTATGTTTTTCTCTTGTTTGGGTAAATGTGGCTCATTAACTGAGAAACAATTGTGTTTGCTGTTTTTTAAATTTATTTGGGACTTGGAAAGTATGAAAAGTGATTGGGCACAGGACAGAGGAAACTATGTAAACTCAGTCACAAGGGCATGGATGAGCATGGTATAGAAGAACATGGGGAGACTCTGTTAATTATTGGCATACTAAGAAATATTTGCAGAGAGAAAATGTGGCCATTCGTGTACTTTGAAATCCAGACCTAAGTCATGACCTGATAGGCAATAGCAAGTAATTGTTAACTTGTGGATGTCACAAAGTATACTCTAGTTGTGGGAAAAAAAACACTTCAAAATTGTAATTAATGACCTAAATGCACTCAGTTGTGCAATGCTGGACTTTTAACTATGGGCCATCTCTTCCTTCCAGAACACACTTACCACAGCCATGAATCTGCTCAGTATAAAAAATGACAGCAATTTAAATGTTTATTCATAATTCTGATTTTGTTCAGGAAAAAAAATGTTAAAATAAAAATGGATCCAATAGTTATAGTCCACACTCTTATTTTCTGAGATTAAATTTATGTCATTGTCCATAAAATTTCCTTCTATTTTTATTTTAGTCACTAAAATTAAAACAGGCTCATTACCTAAAGATTTTTTTCTAGCTATTTGGATGTGAAAATTTTGCACAAATTTTTTTTCTAGTCCTATCCTGAAAGAAACCTATTAAACTTTAACACTGAGAGTCTAAAATAAAGAACCCCATTAGTCTATCTACAAAGAAATGTATGTATGTATTTTTTAAAATCCTATCATAGTAAACATGTGTATACTAAATAGCCCTTTAAAGTTTATAATTTCAGACATTAACCACTTTATTAAAATATCAGACTCAACCCATAGTCAAAACACTGATACATTATTTCTTTAAATTTGTCTTTAATTCTAGGCAACAAGACTTACTTAGGAAAGACAATATGATGATTTCCTTTCTGGCAGCCAAGGAAGAAATGATTTTCTAGCTACATTGGCTAGTGGATGGGCTGAGGAAACATGCACTATTTTCCTAGAAAATACTAAAGGAGAATATACTCCAGAAAACCTTGAAAGAAAACTATAGCTACTGATGTATAACTTCATACTGATACTTTCTAAATAGGAAAAGTGAATCTGTTAAATTCCATGATTATTTTTTAGTGTAGCATACCATATAGCTTTTTTAAAGTATTGAGTATACAAATCATAGATGTACCACTTAAAAATGTTTCATAAATATGATACTCACATGCATCTACCACCAAGTTTAAGGAACAACAGTATCAGGACTTCAGACGATCCCTCCTTATCCTCCCGAAGGCTAGCCACTATCTTTAATTTTAACATAATAATTTATTTGTACCTTTTCTTAACTTTTTTATATGAAATATTATGGCATGTACACTTTATGTCTGAGCTGTTTTGGAGATCAACTCATATTATAACATAGATCTGTAGTTCATCTATTTTTATGTTATACTAGAGGCCTGATGCACAAAATTCGTGCATGGTGAGTGTACGGGAGCCCTCAGGGGATGTACTACTGATGGCTTAGGCCTGCTCCCCATGAATCTCTGCTCTCTGTGGGGCCTGCCTGCTCTACACTGTGGTGATGGGCAAGCGGGCCCTGCTGTCTGCTATCAAGCTGCATGGCTGGACCCACCTGGGGGCAAGTCCAGCTGTGCCGCCCACCCTGGAATCGCTGGTCTGGCCCTGCCTGGCTCCCTGGGCCCCACAGCTGTGGGTCTGGTCCTGCCTCCCTCTCTGGCCCTAGAAGCAGCCTCAGTGGCTGCTGACCAGGCTCTCTTCAATGCAGGCATACAGTCCCCTGAAGCCCCACCCCCAATGCTGCATGAGCAACCTCCTCCTGTTCGGTAGACCCATTATGGCATCCCGGTAATTAGCATCTCTCTCTCTCTCTCTCTCTCTCTCTCTCTCTCTCTCTCTCTCTCTCTCTCTCTCTCTCCATATATATATGGATGTGTTACAGCAAAGTTTATGTATATATTTCTTTTAGGCGTAGATCTAGAGTGGACTTTCTGGATCATGGTAGATGTTGCCAAACAGGTTTCCAAAGTGATTCCAATTTACATTCCTACTTGCTACATTCCTACATAGATTTTTAAAGACCATGTTGAATGGAATGTGCTGTGGGGGAAAACAAAAAGAAGGAAAATGAAAGGGAAGGAAATACTTCATGGGAAAAGAAAAGATATAGTTGTTTATCAAGTTAGGCACTGTGTTAAGTGCTATACATTTATAATTTCATTTTATTCTCATAGAACCCCATTTGAGGTAGGATCTTTTATAATCCTCATTTTACAAATGAAGAGAAAGGTTCTGAGAAGTTACTTGCTCAAAGTTATACCACTAATAAGTGACAGATCTGATATTTGAACCCAGATAATCTAACTAAAGTTTATGTTCTCAAATCACTTTACTATACAAACATGAAAACAAGATGTTTACAAATGCTTTGTTTGCAGCATTTTTGCTGCATGGGTCTTGGTATGTCCATCAGCATTAATGATGACATAAAATAATTAGCATCATTCAACCCTCCCATCCAAAAGAACAGTACACATAGATGAAACTCTGTTTAATCTCTTCTTCAGTAATATTGACTAAGCTAATCTGTATTTCCTCCTTGAAGAAGTCACATGTCAGAAAGCATTTATGCTTCCTTCCTAGCTGTGTCTCACATAGTTAATTTGCAAGAGTCATTCACCACTGAGAGATTTAGACTCAACTGATTCATACTGAAGACATTCAGTATTGGGTGTTCAGAGGGCTGAATTGTAGTACTTATATTGGTCTAGTACTAATTAATGTCGTTTTCTAATACTTTTTTAAATCGAATTTATTTAAACAATACAACAAAATTTAATCAACAATATAGTTGCCATTGTTTTCTACTACTTGTGCCCAACGCTCAG